ATACCGTTTGATTCTCTTATTGATTTCATGTTTTATTCTCTGTTTACTGTTACTCGTTCTACTGAGAGGGTGTTTAGTTTTACATACTAGTACTATTCCATATGTACTAACATCCCTTTTGTTGGGGGCGTTGCATCTTTAATGGAAGAAGGTGATTCCATAGCAGGTAGCATTGATCAGTGATAGCAGCACACCCTTTCCTCAGCTGACTTGGTGAGCCCCACTTCATTTCGGGGTCCTGTGTCTCTTATCCTTTGTACATAGCATTTTGAAGTATAGCCGGGACCTTGTTGCCGGCACTGTCATAGCACTCTTTTGTTTCTGTTAGAGGCTCCGTAGACATAGTGTGGGTTGTATATGATTTTGGGAAGATTAAACTAAAAATGTTATAATTGTATCATCTGTTCCTCTTTAACTATGATTGTACAATGTACTGTCTTGGAGACTTGTTAATGACGTAACTAATTGAAATGAACTGGTGTTATTCACATGACCTCTTACTGTCAAATTAATAAAATATATTCTTCTCTTTATTCATGGGTGAGTTGGGTAGAAGGTATTGTAAAGGCTTGCTTGACCGGGGTATCCCAGTTGAGCGCCGGTCGCGCTCCCCGAGGTCGGGGCATGACAAGGAGTTTGGGCCTGCAACGTGCATGAAGTTCTAAGTCTATTTGAATGTCCAGATATGCTACTGGGTTATTAGTGTACTTGTATTGATCTTGTAACTATTTATTTTATTTTGTAATAATTTGTAAACACTGATCATGGGGAAACTAATAAAAGAGGGCGGCTGGGGTAGTTAACATTCGCATGAATGGATAGATAACATGCCTATAGGATCAAATAAGCCTTGCCTGCTACATGACGATAATGCTTTGCTTCTGCGTATTATCTGTTAATAGATATCATGCCTATAAAATTTTCAAATTTGACTGTCTCCCTTAGAAATCATGAGTTTAGGACCATAAGTAACTGGTAACTAAATGCTACCAACGTGACTTACTATTCGTTTAGAAAGCATGCCCATAGGACATACTTTCATTTATTCGTTTGATTATTTGCCACTACACCTAGAAATCATACCTTGTGACCCACTTAGCTATCATGCCTAAATGATCTTATGTTAAGTAATTAAAACCGTCCATGCTACCATGTCCTCAAACTATGATCTTAACACTTCACGTCTAGAAATCATGACTATAAGATCCATAAACAAAAACTTGTATCACATAATTGTTGTGTCGTTAAAAATAGTCTAAAACTTGATCATTTAAAGATCCTTCCTATAGGACTTAAATAGTGAAATCTGCTTTGTTAGATTATCCATGTATAAATCATGAACTTGATCAACTCACTACTGGTTATCTACATTTTTCACATAGAAATCCTGTTTTAGGTCAATTTTATTCAACAATGCACATTAGCTCATGGCTGCCCGACTTGATCTCACTACTAGAAGAACATGTTCATAGAGCAATTCATTTATCAATTATGCCACTCTTCCATAACTATTAAATGATAATATTTTGACGTTCATATGAGTCTATTTGTGGAGGTAAACATGAGCCATTTTTATGCTAAATGTGCGTCTGAAGTCCTATTTGTTCTAACTACTTGGCGCTTAGTCTTTTAATTTTAAGCAACCTAGGATGTGACTAGAACTACCTATATAGTAGTTCAACACCTCCTGAACCATAGGCATGGGATGGGTAGGCATACATAGGATACGACTTAGAATTAAATTAGTGCGCTTTAGGTAAACAACTTAAAAATAGTAATCGGGTAGCTGGAGATGATAGTTTGCTCGCTGGATAATATGAGCAACCATTGCACTTAAAAGTTGCGAAGTATTATTTATGTTATACAGGATGATCCTTTAGGCTAAACAATTTAGGAACCCCCCCCCCCCTCCAATGGTGTCTAATTGCTCTTGTATATTTTAGTAATTAGTATTGTTAATGGATCTAGATTTGTGAGTTGGTTGAACATCTTTGTAATCGAAAGGTTGTACCAATTAATGTTAGTTAATGGATGTAGTATTTCTTTCAAATTATTCCCTTTATATTATTTGTGTATTATTTCTCTCAATTAATTATTTCAACATATTCCACCTAGAATAACTAATCACTTACTTAGACTTTTTATTCCCTTAATTTAATAATGGATTAACGGGCATGCTCACTTAGAATAATTAATTTGATAAATCTCATATAGTTTAGAATTCATCCTGGAACCACAGTTGTGAACCTCGAAGAGTGCCTAACACCTTCTTTTCAAGGTAATTTGAGCCCTTACCTGATCTTTGGTAACACAGACTAGTTAAAATAGAGTTATTTGCAAATATGTATCCTAACACACCTTAAAATCGTTAAATGGTGACTCTTCTCTTTTAAGATCCGCATTCAAAAGAGTTGTCACATGTTAAAACCCACTTTCACGAGAAAACGGGGAACGGCTACGGGTTAAGCTGAGTACGACATTTCATCCCTAGATGGACGGACAGTCAAAGAATATTATTCAGATATTGAAGGACATGTTATGAGCTTGCGTCATTGATTTCGGGGCATCATGGGATCAGTTTCTACAGTTCGCAGAGTTCGCCTATAAAACGCTATTAGTCGAGTATCCGGATGGCTCCGTATGAGGCCTTATATTGGAGGAAAAATCGTTCTCCGGTTGGTTGGTTTGAGCTTGGGGAGGCTAGATTGTTGGGCACTAATTTGGCATGTGATGCTTTGGAGAATGTGAAGTTGATTTAGGAGCGGCTTCGTAAAGAGCAGTCCATGCAGAAGAGTTATGCAGACAGGAAGTCTCGTGATGTGGCATACATGGTGGGTGAGAAGGTTCTACTCAGAGTTTCGCCCATGAAGGGTGTGATGATGTTCGGTAAGAAAGGCAAGTTGAGCCCTCGGTATTATTGGTCCTTTTGAGGTGTTAGAGAGAGTTGGAGAGGTAGCCTACAGACTTGCCTTGCCACCTAGTCTATCGGGTGTCCACCCAATGTTTTATTTTTATATGCTCCGAAAGTATTATGGGGATCCGTCACATGTATTAGACTTCAGCACGATGCAGTTGGATGGGGATTTGACTTATGACGTGGAGCTGTTGGTTATTTTGGACCGGTAGGTTCGAAAGTTATGGTAAAAGAATATAGCTTCAATGAAGGTTTATTTGAGAGGTCAGCTGGTTGATGAGGCTACTTGGGAGACTGAGAAGGAGATGTGGAGCAGATATCCTCACATTTTTGAGACTCCATGTATGATTCTAGACTCGTTCGAGGACGAACATTTATTTAGGAGGGGGAGAATACAACGACCCTGCCGGTCGTTTTGTGTATTTGGTTAGGGGCATTCGTGCCAGGCACCCGTACAGTGCTGAGTGTGATTGTGTGTATGATGGTGAGGGTCACTTGTGCCAGGCACCATGCGTGTGCTGAGAGTGAGTGCACTTGATGATTTCACTGTGATGTTATTGACTTGGCATGTAAGCATAATAGTGTATTTTCCTCATGCAAGCTGGTAAACGAAATGTCTTATCTATTGTTGAAAGTTTAGAAAATCACAGTTTCATTGATAAACTCACATTTTAGAAATTTCGGTGAAAGATTGGGCTTTGACTGTTATACTTGAAAAGTATGTCTAATTTTTTCGTAATTATGAACGAGCTGAACATGATATCTTTTGAGTTATTTACTTTTACTGTCTTTATTATATTATGAATTATTATTGATTATTGGTGTTGGACACTGACTTTCTTCCGATCTCGTCACTACTTTTAGCCCGAGGTTAGGTTTGTTACTTATTGAGTACATGAGGTCGGTTATATTCATACTATACTCTGCACTTAATGTGTAGATCGAGGTACTTCTGGGCATGGTGGTTTTTAGAGTTCACACCGGTACCAACTTGTGGAGACTACGAGGTAGCTCCTATGTCGTTCGCAGACCTTGAAGTTCTCTTTTGTTTATTTCTGTTATCACTGTTCTATCATTCAGACAGTTTGAATTGAGGATTTGACTACGTATTTTGAGATTCTGTAGTGCTTATGTACTCGCTAACACCATATAATTGGGATGGTTGTAGTTGCGGTATTGTTGCTATTTTCAGATATTTATGATTATTTCGTTGTTGAGATTCTTAAACTTTTGTTAATTGAATCTATGGTTATTGTAAGGTTGGCTTGCCTAGAAATCAGTGTTATGCACTGTCACGACTCTGGTGGGAGTTTAAGTCGTGACACTTAACAAGCAGTGTTAGGCACCATTACGACTCTGGTTGATTGAGATTTTGGATCGTGACAAAATTTGTGTAATTGTCAAAACTCAACTTCATCATGTCTGACATGCTTTATTGAGGCCCAATTACAGTAAGAAAGAAAAATTATGCATCAATCCAAAATAAATTAGAACAAGTTATATAGCTTGTTTGGCCAAGCTTCTCAAAAAGAATATTTTTTTTTCAAAATTGAAGTGTTTGGCCAAGCTTTTAGAAAAAAATGCTTTTGAGTAGAAGAAGAAGCAGTTTTGGAGAAGGAGAAAAAAGTAACTTCTTCCCAGAAGCACTTTTGAGAAAAATACACTTAGAAGCACTTTTTAAAAGATTGGCCAAACACTGATTGCTGCTTAGAAGTGCTTTTCAAATTAATTAGCCAAATGCAAACTGTTTCTCACTAAAAGTATTTTTGAAAAAAACACTTTTGAAAAATACTTATCAAAATAAGCTAATTTTTATTATGCTTACTTACAGGGCTCAATTAATATAAAAATTCATTCTTTTACAAAGAGGAAGAAAATGAAAACACATATAATACTTTCACATAATTCATTTAAAGGAATAATTTGATACTTCGCATAAATTCGATTTACATGCCAAAAATCCTTTTACATTTCTAAAACTTCGTCTCATTTAAACACTTAGACCGCAAGAGAGTAATTCTTTTATTTTTTTTTAGACAACTAATAGAATTGCAAAACAAAATTTCAAGAAAAATAGTGCAATAGTGAAGGGCAAAACACACAATTCAACAGAAGTATGTGGTCAGTATATAATTAGCTCGTTTGTATTATCAAATCAAAATGATAAGGACAACAATAGAGTGGATCAAAGACAGAAGAATGAGAGAGCAGCAATAGATGAGGCTATAAGTTACTCCCATCCTCATCAACCTCTCTGAAAAAGTTGAGTATTTTATTTTATTTATAAAGATGGCGTTCGGATCAGTTTGATCACCTCAACTAATTCACCACACAATTACATCTATATAGTAGCGGTGGAATTGCGAGTAAAAATTCGAAATCTTTGTCTTGTTCATTATTCGATCCTAATCCAAGATATCTCCAGATTCTTCTAGATTGCTCCCTGTTTCATCTAGTCGCAGCTATTCCCTTTCTGGTGAGTTCCACCTTTCGCATCTAATTTCGCATTTTTGATGGACTAGTAAACTTTTTTTAAAAAATAAATAAATTATACTTGATCTTCATTTTTCTTTTGCTTAGATTCGTTGATTATTCTATCCTAATGGCTTAATGGAATGGAATCTCAGCACCTATAGAAAGGCTCAAGACCATAAGGGAAGGGGGAACAAGCACCATCTCTTTGAATCAAACCTTCCCAGGATTGATTATTTCCCTTTTTCTAAATTATACAAACCCTGGCTTCAGATAAGCTTTCATTGTAAATGGATATTGCGGACCTCAATGCAAGTACTAGAACTATGAATTTCTATCAATGTCGGGATAGACAGAGGTCTAGGATAGTACGCTGTCGGAGTAAGACCGGGGTAGAGTAAGGAAGTTACCCGCAACTACGCTGCTAATTCGTGGGTGCCTATTCTTCGATCCAAACTGGTGATTCACCGCATTCCCTTCTCTAGTCAGGAATGGAGTCAGGGATACCCAACTCAAGATAAGTCCTAAGGTTCTGTTAAAGTATCCTTAATAGCATCTCTTTCTCTAGAATCAACAGGGTTTCTTTCGTAATTAGCTTGTTCTCCGAACCTTGTTTGTTACCGAGCTGGGTAACTCAAACCCTATCCACTTCCTTTCTTAATAGTAGATAGATAGTCTCTCCTGTCCAGCTCGATATGAACAAGACAGGCTGGTAGGTGGATAGGCTTCTGTCTGACCAGTAGGACATGCCCTTCTCCCCCTAGGCTAGAGCAGTCACAAAAATACTTAACAACTTATAATTATTCCCTTCCTCTGAGCAACTACATAATCCCAATCGATGGAAAATGCTTGGGACTGTATCTACTATTGTGAAGGCGGGAACGTTTTTGCTAGCTCCATTGTTTTTACTTGTTGTTGTAGCTTTTGATAGAGTATTGAAGAATTAGCAAGAGTTATTTCCTGCATTCAATTCCTTTATATGAATGAAGTGTATTTGGGATGGGTAATGCCATTTGAAAATATTTTATAGCATAAGTAAAATAGATTCTACTGTTTGTCCCACCTCTATTTTGTAACTTGGATTATCTGATGCAGTTTCAAACATGGACAACACTGGAGGTCCAACATTGTTTCCCTTGCATCGCTGCAAAACAATTCACCTGGTTGGTTCAAATTTTCCTGAATTGTTTTTTGTTGTACTTCGTATTGAAGATTTCAAGCAGTTATGACTTTGTTTTGAAGGACAGTCGAGGTTGACTTCCCTATTGGATTTTGCTCACAATTTTGAAGGCTTTGTGGTCTTATTAAAACCATATATCTAGGTGAGGCATGGTCAGGGCATTCACAATGTTGAAGGAGACAAGAATTACAAAGCATACCTGTCTCCTGAATATTTTGATGCATACCTTACTACACTTGGTTGGCAACAGGTGGGAGAGCATCCCCGATTTTTGACTTAATCTAAATACTCCTCCTTCTTACTCTTGATGCACCTCGATTCTTATTTCTTATATATCTTTGGCTCTTGTATCAGGTTGATAATTTGCGTAAACACGTTCATGCAAGTGGACTCTTTAAGAGAATTGAGTTAGTTGTCACATCTCCTATGCTAAGGTATCAAATTTTCTCCCTTTGAATGTGACACATGATTTATTTTGCCTTTTTCAACCCAACCCAAGCAAGCAAAAGCAGTAGGGACATGGCAGACAAAACTTGGTTATTCCCTTTAGGATGATTTACAATCTTAGTAGCTATTAGGGTGACCCACCGGGAAGTCTTCGTGTTGCATACCTCTTTTTGTAATCCATGGAAATGGGGAGATTGACGAGGATGTCACGCATTGTATTGGAGCGGGGTTGATCCGATGTTTTGTGTAGTAAGAATGTGCCACCAAAACTTAAAGGTAAGTTCTACAGAGTGGTGGTTAGACCGACTATGTTGTATGGGGCAGAATGTTGGTCAGCCAAGGACTCCCATGTCTAGAAGATGAAAGTAGCAGAAATGAGGATGTTGAGATGGATGTGTGGGCATACCAGGATAGATAAGATTATGAATGAAGATATTCTGGATAAGGTGAGAGTTACCCCGTGGAGCACGAGATACGAGAAGCGAGGCTAAGATAGTTCGAGCATGTGAAGAGGAGGCACATATGCCACAATAAGGAGGTGCGAGAGGTTCTCCTTGGTGGGTCTGACGAGAGGTAGAGGTAGGCCAAAGAAGTATTGAGAAGAGGTGATTAGGCAAGACATGATGCTACTTCAGCTTATCAAGGACATGACCCTCAGATTGGAGGGTGCGGAGGTCGAGAATTAGGGTAGAAAGTTAGTAGGTAGTCGAAAATTTTTCTTTTCCATACCGGTAGTATTAGTGTTAGTCTTGTATTTTCTTATTATTAGATTTCTATTACTACCTGTTGTTTCTTTCGCTTCGATTTTCTTATTATCTTCTTGTTGTTGTTGTTGTAGCTATTATGGAACTTTATGGGAACTTATGGTTGACTTTACAGGACAATGCAAACAGCAGCTGGAGTATTTGGTGGTGATGGCTACAAAGACAGGATGGATATACTACCATTGATGGTGGCGAACACAGGATATAGTGACCGCTCTGCAATTTCTAGTCTGGATTGCCCTCCTATCATGGCGCATGAGCTTTGTCGTGAACACTTGGTATGTCAGCTGAACACCTTTCTGCTTGTCAAGATACTTTGTTCTCTTTTATTTAGTTGTCTTCCATCTTATGTAGAGCTTAAGTCTGTATCACACCTGCAGAAAGGTTGAAATATTCCTGAGCAAATGTGGCAAAAGTTATATCTCCACTGCCAGCATGCAAAAATGCTAGATGGAAAAGTAACTATTTCATTAATCTTAAGAATGGGATATCTTGGGTATTTGAAATATGAGAAAGTATATGCTGCAAATGGAGTTGGAGAGTTGACTTCTGCAGTATTGGTAAAATCGGCAGTAAATTTGTATCTCTCTGTTTTAGTTACCATTTTAATAATGTTGAGTATATAGTGAACTTGCTCGTTCTATGAGTTGAGTTGTGAAGGAGAGAAATAGAAGAGCATTTCAGGATGATGTATTAAGCAAAATATATGTTAATTAGTCTTTGGAACACTGTAAGCACACATTTGTTGTCACTTCTTATCTGCGAATTTTGGGATGTATTAGTGCTTACACAGGCGGATCCAAAATTTAAAATTTATGGGTTCAGATTCGCAATTCTACTTTATCTCATCTAATTTAATGGGCTCAAAATTTATTATTTGTACGATTGTTTGGGCAAAAATACAGGGTATGAGCGAAAGCTATAGGTTCAATTGAACCCATAGCTTCTACACTAGATACGCCTCTGCATACAAATATATGAATATACTTATAAATATCTAGCTAGAAATGATTTGAGTCCAGTTTCTAGTCAGTTAGATCTATGTTCTTATCTTGTTCCCCTGTTTTTCTCAAGCTCATAATCAGCCCTCATCCTGCTTGTTCTTCCTATTCTTGAGATTAGGCTGTTGTCATTTTGCTATATAAGACGTTTCTTTTTCCACTTTTGTTCTCAATCTGCTGGGTCACAGAATACAATAATTGTAACTTTACATTATAAAAAGAGATGTTGTCTTAACTGTGTCAATTATGATCTGTGACATCTAGTGGTTCAAATTTCTGTTTGTATGAAAAGATAACTGATGCTTGATCTATTATGCTTTCAGTTATTTAACTTCTACCTAATATAATTTGGTGGCAGGGTGTTCATCCTTGTGATAGCAGAAGGAGCATAAGTGAATATCAGTGTCTCTTTCCTGCAATTGATCTTTCACTGGCAAGTATTTAACAATTTAAACTTCTTCCATGTCTTTAATAGTAGTACACGTGCTTGGTATGGCTATAATATGTCATTTCAAATGATATCCCTTATCATGGACCTAATGAATTTGTGGTATTTTGTTCAGATTGAAAGTGACGAGGATACCCTCTGGAAGGCCAATGTTAGGGAGACAAAGGAAGAAGTCATGGCTAGGGGAATAAAATTCCTGAACTGGTTAGGTTCAAC